TATAACCAGACCAAAATTAATAAAATAAAAGCTTCATATAAAAAACAAGTTCTTCTAGAAAGTTATAAGCTAATAAAGGTGGGCAAGAAAGAATCTTATATAAGTGATGAGTTAAAAAAATATCTTAGGCCTCCTGACTACAACTATCGATAGAAAAATAAACAGATTTTACCAAAAGTTAAGCACTGTTTTGGACGAGACGTAACAAATCTATCAACTTATATATAACTGGAATGCTTTAAAAGAAGAATACAAAGATTTGAGTACTTACAAGCAATTTAAATGGGCTGTAAAAATATTGAGCTGCAACTAGTTGTGTGTATTTTTTTTCTGTTATTTTTGTTAAATAAATAAATGCTTACTGGAATTATTTATATACAATAAACAAACACCTTTCTCTATTCCAGCACAACGTTTAATGCATTAAAAAATGTTTTCGACCGTTTTTAGCTATCTTCCTCAGTTCAAATTCAAACCATATAACAAACAAAGTATTCAAAAAATACAAAAATTCAAAGCGCTCATTCACAACTTCACGCTAAAGTGCATGCGCGTACTCATAAAATGTATACATTAAATCAAAATAATTAAAAATAAACCAAAAAAATTATATATCAAGTAATATTACAAAAACAATTAATAACACCGCCTATGCGGTTGCAACAGTTAATCTATGTTATCGTAAAAGGACTTCCAGGCTGTTGATAAACCTTCGTCATCCCTGTGATTGATGCACTACGCAGTCATATGCGCCTTGTGTATCTCAACTTTTTCCAGGTGTTTCACTGCTTGCATTGATCTTTATTGATTGATAACAAGGAAGAAAGGCGATTCAACAAAAGCATAAAAGAAGCAAGAGATTGGCTACAAAGGAAGGATATAGTGCTCATAAAGGCAGATAAATCCAAGGGTATAGTGCTCCTCAAACAAGAAACATATAACCAGAAGCTACAAGAACGCATCAACAACACAGAATGTCTCATTGCTCCTGATAACTATTTAGAAACATTACAGAAACGAGTTAGGAAATTCCTGTTTACTCCGTTAGCGAATCACTTAAATATGGAGAGAGGAGTCATTCGAGCACCAAGAATCTTTGCGTTTGGGAAAACACACAAACCAGGATTGCAGTTACACCCAATAGTAGAAAAGTGCAATGTGCCTACTTTCGTTATAGAAAAAGGACTAGTTAAATTTATATGGAAAAAATCAAGGAGTCACCTTATTCAATAAAAAACACAGTACAATTGGTGCAGAAACTAGAAAACATTACACTTAAGGATGAGGAGTTTATGACTGTCTTAGATTACAAGGCCTTATACCCATCGATTAAATTACCACCTTGCTTTTGTGCCTTGAGAGATTTTTTATTCACTAACATCAAAGATGCTATGAAATACCACAAGCACATTTTGGAGTTAACTGATTTGATTTGCCATACATTGTTCTTTGAGTTTGAAGGAAAAACATATCTGCAAGGACAGGGCGTACCAATGGGTAGCCCAATGTCAGCGGTTCTTTGTGAATTAGTACTAAGAAAGCTAGAAAGTAATATCTTACCCACTTTCCAGGAAGATATAATAATATATGCGAGATATGTGGATGATATCTTCGTTTTGTGGAAAAAAATTCATAATGTACACCATTTTATAAGCTTAATCAACAGTAACCCATATGGGCTAACATTAGAACTAGACCAGGAGAGTAAGAATAGTATTAATTTCTTAGATTTAACAATAACATGCAAAGAGGGTGAGATCAGAACGAATATATACCATAAGCCAGTTTATCAACCAATTATCATACCTAAGATCCTGAACACATCAAATTGGCAGCATTTCGATCATGGATTATAAGGGTTTACACACATTGTACCAGCATATATGATACTTATAAAGAATTGGAATATATACAGAGCATAGCTAAGCAACAAGGATATGGAAGAAAGACAATCAATGCGCTTATAGCAAGGCTGCAGAAACAGAATCTGCAACAAAGAACAACTGAACAAAGGGAAAGAGTTGTAGTTAATTACCATCCATCTCTAAATAAAATTGTTAAGAAAGTTGCCAGGAATAGAAATATAAAAATAATTTATAGGCGTAATCCTACAGTGTATAAGCTTCTAAGAAACGATAAGAGAAGATATGAGCATAATAGCATGACAGGAGTCTACTTGATACCTATGAAAGACCATAGATTTAACTCTGACCTAATATATATAGGAGCAACAATGCAGAACCTGAAGAAAAGGATTGATGAGCACAAATACTCAGTGAATAGAAGCATTGATAGCACAGTCCTTGCAGTATACTGGGATCAGGCAACAATTATTAGACCTACCAGATCAATGCAAGCGGTGAAACACCTGGAAAAAGTTGAGATACACAAGGCGCATATGACTGTGTAGTGCATCAATCACAGGGATGATGAAGGTTTATCAACAGCCTGGAAGTCCTTTTACGATAACATAGATTAACTGTTGCAACCGCATAGGCGGTGTTATTAATTGTTTTTGTAATATTACTTGATATATAATTTTTTTGGTTTATTTTTAATTATTTTGATTTAATGTATACATTTTATGAGTACGAGCATGCACTTTAGCGTGAAGTTGTGAATGAGCGCTTTGAATTTTTGTATTTTTTGAATACTTTGTTCGTTATATGGTTTGAATTTGAACTGAGGAAGATAGCTAAAAACGGTCAAAAACATTTTTTAATGCATTAAACGTTGTGCTGGAATAGAGAAAGGTGTTTGTTTATTGTTGTTTTTGTTTTTTTCCTTTGTTCTTTTTCTTGTTTTGTTGATTGTACATTTTATATATATGTGTATCTTTAGTTTTTTTTTACTCTTGAAAAAGGCTACTGGTCATAGGGTTGTTTGAAAATAAATAAATAATAATAAATAGTTATTTTCTTTTAAATAAATTTATTTTAAATTTGAATTATACACCTTTAAATACCAGTTACTATATTATTAAAACAGAGAACATTTTTAGATGTTTTTAACATCTATCTTTAGGTTCTTTTGATCAAATACTGTGATATTTGAACACTAAGCAAGCAAGACTTCCAAAATTTATAATTCAACAAATTTTACAACAGTGCAAGCACTATATCATGACATGTAGAACAAAACTATCACCTTCTCATTAAAATTCACACTTTCAAATTCTGTACATTCTATAAGCTTATATTATCTTTATACTTTCCACTTATGCCATTTTTTTGTATTTTTTCTGTTTTTGAACTTTTTTCAGCATCTGTTCTTGATTTATTATTTTTTTGGACAGTTTTTGCGTTTTTCTGTTTTTCTGTCGTCCTTTTGAACTTAGCAATCTTTTTTAGAGATGGCATAAGTGGAAAGTATAAAGATAATATAAGCTTATAGAATGTACAGAATTTGAAAGTGTGAATTTTAATGAGAAGGTGATAGTTTTGTTCTACACGTCATGATATTTGCACTGTTGTAAAATTTGTTGAATTATAAATTTCAAAATTTTGGAAGTCTTATTTGGTTAGTATTCAAATATTGCAGTATTTGATCAAAAGGACCTAAAGATGGATGTTGAAAACATTCGAAAAAATCTCTGTTTTAATAATAAAGTTACTGGTATTTAAGGTGTGTGAATATTGTTTCTAATTGTAACCAGTTGAATTTTAAGTTTGAATTAAATTAACCTTTTGTCAGGTGCCTTTGATCAATTTGATACACCATGCACATTTTGAGTTGTCATTTCTTACCAGAAAATTGTAGCCATGCATACTTCTCAGTACTATTATGGTGACTTTAATTCTTACATTTTGAAAAACTTTCCAAATATGTTGTAATTTTTTTATTATTATTTTCATATATTGTGCCTCTTTCTGCTGTATACTGAATTTTTAGTAAATACAGTAAATTCAAGAACTAGTTTTAGATTAATTACTTTTTAGAATTAAAATTCCATAAAACCAATTTTATCATTTAGAAATTAGTATCACATTACACACAATGCAAGCTAATAACAATTGACAAAATTGATAGCACTGAATGTAAAACAAGTAAAATTAAAGAGGAAATGATGTAATGACTCCAATGTACTACTAAATAAAAAGCTGCTAACAAAATATGAATGTAAAAAATATGAAAAGGCAATTTGTGCATAGAAGTCTTTTGTACAATATATGAAATAAATGTAATGAAGCATAATGAATGGTTAATAAACAGAAAAATCTTTGAAAAGTGCAGATAAATCATTTTTATATTTAGTTTTTATTTTTCCATGAAAAGTATAATACAGTACTGTACTTTGAGTTTGATAAAAATTAATTTGTTAATTTGTATTTTGTTGGTTTTGTAATAATGATAATAATTTAAAATTAAACAATACATCAGAAATAATAATTTTAATGTACTGTAAAAATTCATGAAATATTTTCTTATCATTTTTATACATTGCACTATTTTTGATTTTATATTGCACTTGACAGAAGGTTAAATTAATTCATCTTTAAAAGACTTTCAGAACTAATATCAAATCAATTGCAAAATATCTTGAAATTATCATCTAAATTAATATTTTGCTATTTCTTGTATCAATTGTAGAAGAATTAATAAACGAAGACTGTTTATTTGAATCTGTTTAATTTTAGTTTTGGATAAATATTAAAATAAAGCATTAAATAAAATACATATTTTATGTTAGCAAGTATTTTTTTGTCTAATATGATCTAACATTAGTAAATCCATGCTCTATGAAAATAAAATGTTCAGCAATATTAATTAGAATGATTTCTATTTACACAAATATTTTTGAATAAACAGTCCATTATCAACTTCGTTAAATAACTAATTCTGATATTATTATGAATTGATTCACTTTTCTTATTCTTCCCCAAACTAATATTATCATTAAAGTCATATGTTGCTGATGTAAAATTCAATTTATAAAAATATTATTCATATTTTATAATATCTTAAAATAAATCAATACAAGTATTCTTATATAATTTCAGATAAACAATGCTTCAGATCAAGCTATAAATGCATTAGGTGGAATTAAAGTTGACCATAAAGAAGAATTAGTTGTTCAGTTTGGAATTCCTTGATTATCATTAATAACAGATTATATCAATCAAATACATCTTCAATATCTGTTTACAAAAAGTTTCTTTGATAATTATAACTGATACAAATAAGATTATTTCTTTAAAAAAATCTATTGTATTCTTTTGAAAAGAATTATCAGAATTCAAGTTTTTATCAGATTAAAATTATTGGAAGCAGCAGCAAGATAATGGATGTAAAGACAGGTTTTATTTTAAATATTCTTTTTTTAACTTTTTACAGAATTTTTTAGTATTAGTGAATTTTAATGTATTATTATGTTTGTGTGTGGATATTTTATTAAAAAAAAAAGAAAAGAAAAAAAAAAGAAAATTAATTTTGAAAGGTTCAATTGATTTATATTTTAAATTTAGTTATTAATGAGCAGTTGCTCTTTAAAATAAAAAGAATTAATATAAAAATTTGCTGAAAGATTTATTTAGTAATTTAAAACTGCTATGCAGTTTAAAATTAAAATTTGAGAATTGCAATACAAAAAAATAATATTTTTTTGGATAGAATTCTGCAAAACTCAGGGATATTAGTCTTTGAAACAGATACAGCTTTTAAATTATTAAATGTAACATTATTAGAAATGTGCATATTATTATGCAAATGATATTCTGACTTGACTGAATAATCTGATATATTCTGTGTTATTTTTGTTTAGTTAAGATTATTTGAATTATCTAATAATGAAAAATTAACCAAATTATAAAATAATAAATAGCAATTATACATCTTCAGATATTTGTGATTTTATTTGTTATACCCTACTTCTTTAATTGCTTTTTTGGAAATATAAAAGAATGTGGAATGCCTGATCTGTTTGTTGCATGTTTGTTGTGGAAAACAATTTGCAAGAATTAACATTTTATGCATTTTTGAATGATGATTTCTCACATTGAGAAAGTTTTTGTCATTCTCCAAGATATGTAAAAATTTTCTGCATTGAGTAAAACCAGTTTCTCTTCTGTAATAAATAAATAATAGCTTTAATAAATAAAATATAACAGTGGATGATTTCAATTTAATTGAGTCACAGAATCATTATACTCAGAATTATTTTTTTGATTCATCATAAATTAAAGAAACAATTATGATAAAAGTTCTGATAAGTCTGAAGAACATGATTGCCTTAACAGGTAAACTTTCTTCAGATTCTTATCATCTCTTGGATGCAAATTTTTTCAGTTATGAAGGAACTTCTTAGAATGAAAGGTGATTGCAATTATGTATTCTTGTTTTCATATTAAGAGAATTATTCATGTAGCTATTTCTTCTGCAGATAGAATAAATCAGACATAAACTTTCGTAAAAAATTAAAAGAAATTTATAATGTATAAATCAAGATTTTATTGAAGATTAAAATAGAAACATAAATAGTTGAAATTCAAGCATTAAAAATTATATAAATATGTAAATAAACACAATTTTATTTTTTAAGTAAAATACATGTATTTGTCATAATAATTAATTTTAAGAAAGTACTGAATATGTAATTATTAAAAAAAATAAAGATATTTAAAAAATGATTTGGTTATATGATTTAGTAATTGATATCAGTTACTTTTTTGTTATTTTAGTAGTCGACATAAAGCTGAATCAATAGCAAAATATTTAAAATGAATAAAAATTTAACCTTACCACTACTCTGGAGTATATCACACATTGCAATTAGTTTTCAAAATTTACACCGGATATTGCTAGATGTCAAGCCTTTCAGCAGTTTCTGCATTGTTACTAATGCTTATTGTTTGTTGGAGAATAATAGTGGTTTATATTGTATGGGTAAAATTCCGTGCTTTGGGTACATGAGTAAATCTGTAAAGCATTTGTGTAAGCATTGCTCACCTAAAAAAAGAAGAAACTTTTATTCTTTCACATATGCATCCAGAGGAGAGAGACTCAATTCAGTCACACCCCAGAAAGGGTTGAGTTTTATAACACATCAAAAGATGGTATGGACTCATTAGATCAGTGTGTAAGGTTTGCTGACTGTATGCGATTGTTGGGATAGTCGAGGCATTGAGACAATCATGCATAAGCATGAAATACACACTGAGACAGTCTTACCATTCACTTTTTCCCATTTAATAAAATATATAAAATCTTCTTACACAATTTTCTATATTCTTGTCATTACAATTCTCCTTTGATATTTCTTTTTTAAGAAGAAAGTCCAGTAAAAGTCCATATATCGTGTTGAGTGTCTACACTCAGTCCATTGGTCTTCTGCAGGATTGGACTCATTGTAAAGCTCATCCTTGATATAAGTTTTTAAAGGGTTTCTTTCCTCTATTCTGCATTCTGATTGGTCTTCCCTTGTCTCCTGGTGACAGTTTGAAACCTTTTGGGGTGCAGAAGTCATTATCAACACTTAATCCGATCCAATCAGCTAAAATTCTTCCAAACTTTGAAATTCTCCCTTGTAATTCCAGCCTTTTGTTTTCCTTTTTGATGAAAAGAACTTTTATTGTTTTTGTGAGACTTTAAATCTTGCTTTGTTTTAATTTTGAAAGGTGAAAGTTTAACTATCCCACTGGTTATTTGTCATCATTAACATAAAATTTTGATTTCCGTCCAGGACCTTGCAAGTGTTGTCATCTATCTACGTCTATAGAAAAATCTTTCGAGGTTATTCTACAACCTCTTTGGCATTGTTGGGATCAATCTTTAACCTTAACCTAATTAAAGGCTGAAAAAGTCAAAGCAAGGAATCATTTAAGGATAGAAGATCCATTTTGAAATTTCTTACTCAGGAGCTTATGACATCTCGTATGACAGCTTATCTAAAGTATCAAATTTTTTTCTCACTCAAAGTTCTTATTCAACAAATGTTAAAAATTGACCAAGTAACACAATGCATTATTCCCTAAGAATATTTCAGTTGAGAGATATTTATTTTACCTGAGGAATAATGACTGAAAGAGTCACATTAATTGCCATAATTATTGTATGCCAAGAGTGTCAGAATAATTTTATATATATGTATATAGATTATTTGATGTTTCTCTTGATTTCTTGAATTATATATGAATTGTATTAAATGTTTTCAAACAGAAGAATATTATTTATTTAGGATATACCAGTATTTCAGTGTAGTGTTAATGAAATTTTGACATGAAGCATTACAGGAGTAACAAATTTTTGTAATTCATCAATGTTAGTGATTTTGGAACTCATAGAATTTGTGCAATTGCTAATTTACAAAATCATTCTATATACAAAAATAATTTTGGTACAGTAGATTATAGTTTACATTAGAAATAACATCATAAATATATACCAGGGGTGGGCAAGCAAGAGTTCAGAGGGAGCTGAAAATGTAGGTTTTGCAAAATGCATGGGAGCCGCAGTTCTGTACTTTTTTATTCTGTACTGTGATTTTATTATATAATATAAAAGAAATATTGAATTTTTTGTAATAAACCTATTTTCACAAAATTGTGGAATTAAAATGTAAAAATAATAAAAAGCAGAAATTAACACTTTCAGCAAGAGCTGCATTTGGCCATGTCTGATATATACAGTAACTCTTTATATCATGCATGCCAGGAGACAAAATAAATGAATGATATATCAGATATTGTGATACAACAGATGTATCTATCCACCTGTTTTGGCTATTTTCGATCTCTATGTTGACTTGCTTTTTGTGGATATATTTCAAACAATAATAAAATAAGGTAATATTTTTTTGCCAGTAGAAATTCAATGGCATTTTTTTTTTTTTTTTAAATTATTGGCTAAGGTGCTTTTATATTTCAAAGACCCAAAAAAAACTTTGATATATCTGAATGAGCAATATAATGAGGGGTTACTATAATTAGTTTTTTTAATAAATTAATAATACTATTAGATATAGTAGAGTTTTCAGATTTTTACAACTGGATTAAAGGATGCTTAAAAATGATTAATAAAAGCACTCTCCAACTTTCACTTTCACACCCCAAAAAGATTGAATGAATTTTTAGTTAATAAGTAAAAAATATACATATAACTAACATCTTATCCTTGCTGAGAAATATAATTTAATTTCAAACAAACGTTTTCAACCTGATTCACAGGCCATCTTCAGGTTGAGAATCAAATTTGAAGTAAAGGATTCCATTAATGGAATTCAAAATTCAAAATTAAATAAGCAACGGAATAAGATAAAAATAAAAATTAAATATTAAATAACCAACGGAGTAACATAAAAATGTAAAAAAATGTGCATAGAAGTATTAAGAAATACAATTACTAACACATCCAATATTTCTCGGCAAGGATAAGGTGTTAGTTATATGTATAGTGATTTGCTGAGTATTTTATGATAGTAAAAAATGTAAATAATCAAACATCTATTCAGCTTTGGTAGATGGATAAAAAATATAAACACAGAACATTCTATTTATATTTTTTAGGTTTTGATTTAAAAATTGTAGTTTTCATATTGAGTATAAATATTTGCAAACTAATTTAGAATTTAAAATATTTAATGGTAAACCATTGCTTTTGATAGGGAAAGATATATATAGGTATATGTCTGTCCTTATACAGTACATCAATGTGAAAATATACAACTGCCATTATGAAACACAGGCATTAAAAATGAAAATAAAGGATAAATTGTGTCCTTTATTGAAACAAGAAAGGACACAATTTGACTAAACTAAAATAAAGGATTATCCTTTGAAATAAAGGCATTTGGCAACCCTGGATGTAAGGTGCAATATTTAAAGATGATGATAGCAATTACTATTTCATTATCAAATGTTAAATATTGCATTATCATAATGTTAAAAAAAATACATTTGACAAAGACAACACAGAATAAAATTATTGGCATGTGCTTGAAATACTAGTGAAAATGTTCTGTAATAGATTGATTTGACTATTAGGATTACTTCAGTACAATATTTTTAATGTTGAGATAACAAAATGTGGATAGACCTTATCATCTTGTTCATTCAAAATACAAACTGACTGGAAAAAGTTTTATAACATTTTTCTTATAAAATTAGTATAAGTTAAGAGTTTTAAATTCTGGAGTTATCAAAATATTTATAGTCAGGATGACCCATTTTCCAGCCAGAAAATGATTTAATTTCCTCTTTTCTATTTATTTCTTCTGACTTATGAGCACAAAGGTCTTTTTCTCTACCTATTATGGTTACAGAAAACATCATTAGTATGTTATTGGTTTTAACAGGCTCATATTGGGATGCCTGGATGATAGGGACGAGACTTGGCATATCTAAGCCAACCTGTTCATGAACATTTTTGATCTAAACTAGATGTGAATTGAAATTCACCAGAGCGAAAAATGAAAAATAGTAAAA